AGTTTGGCATGCTCCACTTCAGCAGCCTGGGTTCAGTTCCCAGGCATGGAACCACATCACTCGTCAGTGACTGACGTGACACCACATATCAGTAGCCATGCTGTGGTGGCAGCTCACACAGAAGAACTAGAAGGACTTACAACTAGAATATACAACTATGTACTGGGGCTTTGGGGTGGAAAAAGAAAAAAAGAGAGGAAGATTGGCAACAGATGTTAGCTCAGGGCGAATCTTTCCCAGAAAAAAACAAAACAAACAAACAAACAAACCCTTCAGTCTCTATAAAAAAAAAAAGATAAAAAAGCAAACATAAAACTTGAACTTTTACAGGCGCTTAATTCATGGTGTAAAATTTACCTTAGCAATCATATTTGTGTTGAAGAACCCCAAAACCTACTTAAAAAAATTATGTCTCAAACTGAACATTTTTTTCTAAGCATGGACTTGTGTCTTTTCCCCAATCGCCTCTATGAGTAAATGTGACCTTCCGCTTAGTGCTGGCTTTTTCGACACTAGTCCCTTTGATGCTGTCTTCTTCCGACAACTTCTTTATTAAATCTCAAATATTAGGTAGCTCTATAAAAGAGGGGCAGGATAAAGCAGCAACAGTCTCTAATCCTTCAGGAAGAAAATTCAATCCCTTAAATGCCCTTCTTGCTGTTCAATAGATGCCCCCATTCAGTTGACGAGGCACAGGTAGGAAAGGAAGAATGCTTGGTACCTAGATTTTCCATTATCGTAGCCGCCACCACCAAGTGACAATCAGGGTCAAGTTTCTCTATCTGCCCTGTGTTTTGAGAGCCTGGAGTTACAATTTCTGTAAGCGACTTCAGTGGCATCCCGTGCCTCAGACTCTGAGAGAACATAAAAGAAAAGACAATTTCATGTATTAGTCTGCTAGGGCTGCCATAACAAGATACCAGACTCGGTGGCTTAAACAAAATAAATTTATTTTTTCACAGTTCTGGAGGCTAGAAGTCCAAGATCAAGGAGCCAGGAAGTTTGATTTCTTTTGAGGTGTCTGTCCTTGACTTGTAGATTGCTGCCTTTTCACTGTATCCTTACAGGGTCTTTCTTTTGTGTGTGTGTGTCCCTAGCGTGTGTCTGTGTGTCCAAATTTCATCTTATAATAAGGACACCAGAGAGATTGGATTAGGGCCAACCCTAACAGTCTTATTTTAACTTAACTACCTCTTTAAAGGCCCTATCTCCAAATACAGTCACATTCTGAGATACTGGGGCTTGGGATGTGAGCATATAAATAGGGGTGAGGGACAAAATTCAGCCTATAATATCTGAGAAGAACCAATGAAAGGACTCTTCTCCAAACCACCACGTTAAGGATTCTGTTCCATTTTTAGTCATAATTTAAAGATTATTTTTCCCAAAAAATCAGTTATTAAAAATATATTCAATTGGCAAGTGCATAGAATTCATGTTTGAAAATGGTTAACAAAAAGTCATGTTCTCGGTGATGATGTTTTAAAAATAAAAGCTGGTATTCTTATTATAATAAACTGCTATAGCAAAGTTAATAGCATGACTTAGGTGCTAGTATGTTTCTTAGTATCTCTTTGATTACCTGACATGGGCCATTTCTAATGCCATGCTAAATATTAGAAATTATGCTATGGGGAGCAGTAACGTAATACCACTAAAGTGATTAAAAATGAATCTCCCAGAATGAACTATTTTCATCACTAAAATGAGGATTATGCCTTTTTTACTCTCTTAATAAGATTTTCTTCTAGGAAGGCAGTAAACCTCATAGCCATTAAAGCATTGTACAATTTCTATATTTCAAATAGGAGAATAGTACATAAACATTTCTAACACCTTTAATCAAACCAGTAATCAAAATAGCAGTTTTAAAATACACTGACTAAAATTTGAATGCTAAGCACAACTGGGCCATAGCAGATTTCAAAAGCAAAACCATAATAATACAATGAATGTCACTCTTTTAAATATTTCTCAGATACTAAACGTGAAGTATTAGTAGGGTTTTGAAAATTCTATAAATAATGTATACCTCTCGTAAAATATATAAATACACAAATTATGTAAAATGAAAGGTGCACATTTTCCCCCAGATGTTTATTAGGGTTTTGAACCTCAAGAATGATAACTATAATAGAAAAAATAAATATATCTGTAGTTTTTGTTGTTACTATATGAGAATAGAGTAAAACAGAAAGAGATGGGTGCAGAAAATGTTTTGAGTTTAGAATATGTTTTATGATATTGTTTAAGCTAATAAATATAGTAATCATCATACTATCTAGATTTCGCAGTTGGAAGGTAAAGACAACTGATGTGGTTTCTGCCCAGCTTCCTGCTAAACACATATGAAGATGCTGAAATAAGCCTCTAATAACACTGAAAACTGAGACCGGTTGAAAAACCTACTCCAAGAACCTAGAAGCACCTTATATAATGCTCAAATGAGAAAAGTAAAATAAAGGCTATGCTCTTGCTCTTGGATGGATTGTGAATGGACAAAGTATCAATTATTTCTAAATTCGTGTATAAATGTAGGGTGCTCCCATTAAAAGCACTATTTGCCCCACCCCATCCATTTCCTGGAGCTAACTGTTCATTCCAAGAAAAATTCTTTTAAAGAATAAGCTGGAGGAGGAGGCAGTTAATCCTACTACAAAATAAAGCATCTGTAATTAAAACAAGGTGGTACTTACACATGAAGAGAAAGAAAGACTAAAGAAATCTGGGGAATCCAGAAAAAGACCAAAATACACACGGAAATGCCATGAAGGCAGCATTTCAAATCAGTAATCTTTGAAATAAGGGGATTTTGGATAACTGGTTTCATACAGAAAATCAATAACATAGGATACACTCTTCATTCCATACACATGGGTAAATTACAAATGGACTGAATATTTATCTATAAAAATGAAAGCATATAGGTATTAGAAGAAAACGTGGGTAGATTGTAAGATAGAAGTGAGGACAGCTTTCCTGTCTCTACTCAAAGTGTTGCAAAGGACCATGGGAAAACCACAGGAAATAAAACTCATTTGTGAGACACAAAATGAATTTGATAAATTCCCCAAATTCTTTTCAATGTTAAATTTTAGTGATATCTTGGAAGTGATATAACATCACAGCGATTCTTACTGTTTAAGTGTGTAATGATAGTTAAAGAAACTTACAGTGAAGTCAGCAGGGAGCTACAGTTCTACTTGTAGACCGGTAAAAAGTTAGAGCCACAAACTGGTTACTAAATTTTTGGTTAAATGGGCTTATTTATCATGGCATTATCTTTCCATACTTTCAATTCAAACATTATAAGAAAGTATGGTGTAAGCAATGAATTACCCTTTTGTATCTCTGTCTTGACTCCTTACACCATCTAAATGTGTAGGTTTGTTTTTAGTCATAACATAACCTATTCTTAGTGATAATATAATTTTGTAAGGATGAATGATCATTTCTAAACTGGATTTCCTTGGGGATGCATGTATGGTCTATTTGACTCAGCTCTGCTATTTTTTATCATGCTCCAGCTCTTTATCCTATCTTATACCAGCTCTTACTGTTTTCTTCATTTGAATGCAATGATACATTAAAAATATAGAGCTCATAAAGAGAAAGTTGAAGATAACATGCATTGTTTAGATATCTTAGTCAACAATATAATCTTTCATTGGGACTTTGTGCAAGTTATTTAACCAAATTGTCTCGATTTCCCCATCTCTAAATTGAGAAACATAATAGCACTTAATTTATGGTGATTTTCTGAGAATGAAATGAGACATTGTGTGAAAAGTATTTAGCACAGAGCCTAGCATATAGTCACTACTCAATAAATATTAACTAGTAATCATATTAATTATTAATTGTTATTAACCATGATATTAAACCCTAGAACGTTTTCATTTCCTAAGGGAATAAAACTGAAAATTTGAAAGAATTTTGAGTTGAGATGTTTTGCGTAGGGGCCATTTTCCACTTCCTTTCTTGATGTTCTTAATAGCTTAGTACAGTATTCTCATCTGAGACAAAATGGCTTTGAATATCATCTCTCTTACAACAAAGAATTTAAAAAGACAGACTATAGTCAATAATCTCTCATTTTCGTATAAAGAAGTAGTGTTTCTCTTCACAATAAAGACCCCCATCACTTGGAAATCCTCACTGTGACAAATGGCCAGAAGCTCACCACTCTTCCAACCTCTTAATACTTGTCCAACAGGTAGAGTTATGTTTTTTTTTTTCAAATTATCGTCTCATGACTGTCTGCTTCTGGATCCCATGAGGTGCTACTTAAGCATGCAGCTTCCTGGGCAGTAGCCCAGGCTGAATAAATCAGAATCTCTCAACTTGGGGCTCAGCAAGCTTCATGTTGAACAAGTTTTGCAGGGGGTTCTTATGTAAAGTAAAGGTTGAAAAATTTGAATCCGTCAGAATACAAGAAAATGCTGTTAGTTTTTCTGCCTTCTGATTTTTACAACCTGGAGTGGATGCCCCTTTCTTTCACAGATAAGCTTTGGCTTCCCTCATGGATCAGTTAAATAAATGAACAGTTTACTGGTAACAATTTTGGGGCTCCAAGCAGAAACCTAGAGCTGTTATAGTCTAGGAAAAAAAATACACAAGAAAGTAAAGGCTCAAAAAATTGCTATACTTTCTCTTTTGAAAAATGTGATAAGACTTGAAAAGACTCGTGGGTCTTATGGTTCTTTTATCACACTGGGAAACCCAAGCCATCACTTTCAACATTTCTTCAGCCCTTCCAGCCTCTTCAAGGGAGCCTTCTTGCCTCAGGATAAAATGTTTTTCAGTTGGGTTGATGACATTTGAGGAAAATTAGTGAAGCCAGTGAAGTCCATTTATAATGTAGCATAATGTATTTTTTGTTCACAGGTGATTTTGAAGAATTGATAATCAGTAAAGGAATTAGGAGATTACTTTCTGCGACTAAAATTGCACTCCAAAAATGTTTACCACATTAAGTATTATTTTTGTGTGTTTTACAGGAATTGCATTGCCTCCTAAAGGGAATGTAGATATCCCGGTGTTATTTATCCCCAAAGTTATGAAATTATACAAGACAATGGTCATTGTTCGAATGATAAGGGCAAATAGAAGAAGTTGGCTTATTGACAATTTTGATGAATTGCACACAGAGATGAAAAGGTAACATTCAGATAAGGACATTGAAGGAAAATGATTTCATTTTGACTGGCACTAATGTGACAATGTGATGCGTTTCTTTTACATGTTATGCAATGTCAAGTTCATGATTTTATATTCTCTGAAGTGTTGAAATGTATATATTCAGAGGAGGAAAATATATTTGTTATATGGGTATAGTATATATCATTGCTGATTTGAAGTTCATGGTGATGAACAAGCCAATGTTAAGTATCATATCAATGAATCAGAGTCAGAGACATGCAAAGGGACTCCTTTTTGACTGGGAAAATAGTTACTTCTAAGACAGTAAATAATCTATATCTAGAAAGCAACCTGAAACGGCTTGTCTGGGCGAAGAATAGGACTTGTAATGCTGGCATTCACCAAGTGATGGCACTGTGCCTGGAGGATATGACATCCTGAGAAAACACTGCTGTGACTAGGGGATACTGTGTCATTGCCAGAATGCAAGTACCTCTTTGCTGAGCTGAAATTTAAGCTCCAATAAAATTATGGAAAATTTAAATGTTTTCTGTGCTTTTATAATTTAATTAGTAATGGCCTAGAAATCTTAATTAAAAAGAAATTCTTACTTTGTCCTTCATATGCATTATTTCTTCACATTTTAAAATATTCTTTCCTCTGGGCCCATTCATGTCCACTCTGCCATGTTTTCACACTCCTGCAGTCAAGACTGCCTAAGTGATTTGTGGGTCCGAGTGTAAAATGAAAAAGTTTAAAAGTTATTAAGAATTTCAAGACAGTTACTGTAGTGCATTAAACAAGCATGGAGCAATTCCAAGTGTGGGATTCTTGCACTGTTGCACAGGTCACGTGCCCACAGTGCTGGTCCTACCTGCCACGATTTATGTTTCATCTTTAACAAGAAAAGCCCGCTTTCAACAATGATCAGAACTGTTTTCTAGTATTGCTGTCCTCCTGATGGTGTATGATAGACTTAGAATATTTTGACAAATGCCCTCTTTCTTTTAACTAGTATCCCCTAAAAGTAGATTCCCCATCAATTTCTGAAGTCTTGTACTTCATGGCGTTTTCTGTGTTTTGTGCTTTGCCTGTCCAATTTACTCTGTAACCCATGGGAACTGTATTACCTCTGATTAATCGTAGTAGAGTCACATCAATAAATAGCAATACCAACCTTTAAGTGTAGGGGAAAAAGTTCTTTAATTTTAACTTACATTTCATGATGGTTACATTACGTTTTTCTTTGTGATAATTTCCCAGGGTTTGCTTTGAAGTGTTTGTGAAATCAACGTTTGCAGAAAATGTTTTGTGTTTCATACTTAGTTTCTCCTTGCCAAAGTTAAATTCACAAGCTTTGCTAAAATACTATTAGGTTAATAAAGAATATGCTCATTTATGCTAATATTGAAAGTGTTTATGTTTTTTGTTCACTCTTAATAATTTAATTTCTAATTAGATATATGGGAATAGACAGCAGAGAAATGCAAGCGATACACTGGGTGTACCCTATTCTTGGACTCCCACAGGCACCACATCCTAAACCTCCTCCAGGTAGGTATATCTTAGAGTCAGAGAACATCAGGATGCTAAGGGACCTTAGGGCCCTCAATTCCCATTTCTTCTTTGTGTAAGTAGGAAAATCACAGTCCTGAGAAAGTAAGTTGTGGAGGGACCAGCCCTATTGAGGGGAGTGCTAGGACTGAATCTGGTCTTCTAACAATAAGTCTAAAGATCTTTCCATAAAACCACACCATTTCCTGTTGCCCTTCCTGTTGGTGAAACCTAGAAATCAGGAAAGATTGAAATAACGTTAACTTCAGGCCCCTTTATCCCAAATTCTGTGAGGCGTACAGAGCCCTGCACTAGATCTGTAAGATCCCAGGTACTTTGGTTCTCAGGTCACATTTAATCATCGTATTCCAGCTTCTGTGTAACTCCAAGTCTTATCCAAGAACTATCCTATGGAGACGCTGATCCCTCTCTTAGTTGTCCCAGACACAAACTTTTATGATGTTCTCCAAAAACCAGGCAGAGGACGAAAAATGTACTCAAGTTTTCAAGGAGGTTTGCTTTGCCACTAAACACACAACGTAAACTCTCTACTCTTAAAATGCCTTTCTTTTTCTCAATGAGCCCCTTCTTTTCTCCACATACTCCAGGATTCTCACAAGTTTCTGTGTGTTCTCTTTCCTCAATACTCTTCTCATTTCTTCCACATTCCTTTATTTTTTTCCATTTTCTTCTCAGGATCAGCCTAAGAAATGCAATTCCTCTTAGATAACCATACAGCGAGATTTAGTATCCCAACCTGTTAGCAGGCTCTAGGCATAGTTCCTCATAACTGAGATGCACTGAATTGCTCTGCACAGCAAAGGGGTATCTATTTTGGATCTCCCCCTTGGGCAACACAGATGAGCTAAAACAAGTCTTGCAATTTTGAATTTTCCTTTTCCCTCCAATACCAATCTTTGCTAGTGCAAAATAGTTCATCTTCCACTGACATAAATTATTACATCACTACAATTAGAAAGAAGAGAAAAGAGTAAGTTTTGCTTGTGAATGACAGCATTTCCCCAGATACACTGGTTATCAAGAAAGGCCAAGATTACATATTCCTTATGCAGTTTAATTTTAACTGGAGTAAAAATCCACATACCTAGCAATACCTTTGACAATAAATGTCATCTGTTTTATTTCAAGTATTTTTACTTGAGTTAAAAAATTATTAATACATACAAGTATTTCAAATATACTAAATTATCTTCAGAATGTTTCACAAACATGTCAAGATGTTTCTTTTATTTCCTTCTAGAAATTAGTTTTTTGTATATTTTCTGTAGAGCCGAACGGTTTAAAATTTATAATACAGTTATCTGATCAAAGGATGTGATAAAGCCGAGACATTACTCTGTTGGAATTTAACAGCAGTGTTGCTCATGTCTGCTGCAGACAGTTTTGTTTTTCTCAGATTAAAGATTTAAAGTAGATTTTTTTTCAGTCTAAAACAAAGCCTGTGAGAACGTAAAAACATAAATTTCTTGCACAGTCTTCTTCAAAGAAAGTTAAACATGCTCCAGAAATGTAAAGACATTTTCCGTCAAGTTACTTCTCGTGGTAATTCTTCAATTTTTAAATTAAATGTGAGTTGTGTAAATAGCTTATGTATTAGCTTAATGTATTAGCACAGCCTAGTAGTGACATCAGTGCTGTGAAACATGTTGGGTACTAGCTATTAAATCATTTTACCAAAAGTCTAAAACCTATTCTAGTAATTATTTTTATCTACAAATGCCCTCGAGAAACAAATGGGTATAATTTTATAAATACATATTATTTACTTTCTGTACAGTCCATTCTTCATTTTGAAGAACACATCAGAAATAGTCTATTGCTTTCCCTGCTCAACTATATCGCTATCAATATTTATTGTTTCTTTTCTTTTTTATGTGTCTATCACCCAGGTTATTCTCAAACCCAGGGTACTGTTGTTCTGTGAGCCACCTTTTCTCTCTGTGCATTCTTATCTTCTCCTGTCCACTGGGGCAGATAATTGGAAAAGGACTCCCCTACCTGTCACAGTGTAAAGACAAAGGAGTGTGAATCCATTGTGATTTAGTGATCCTCACATTGCCAGGGCACTAATTTCCTAAGGACTTATAGGACAAGACCAGTGACATGATACTAATTGTAACTTTGATCTCACTAATTTCCAATTTACTGCTTTAAGAGTGAAACTAATTATAACCAGAAAAGCTTGTACATTTTCCTAAGCCATTTCAACCCTCTTAATTTACATCTAACTTTGTACCCTTAATGTACATTTCACATGCTTATTCTAAGTCCAAAATGTTCAATGTCAACTTATAAATTTTAGAAGTAAAAATAAATTTATTTTAAATATTTTTATACTATAAATGTGGTATGTATTGTGAAAACACATAAATCTGAGTACATTATTCATTTTGCAGTTTAGGTGAATATATTATGGTGGATGCCACAAAAGCATAGCATAATACATTTCAGTAGCTTTTTTAGTATTATGATTCCCTTTTTATCCCTTATATTCATGTCCTATGTGCATCTGAATTAATAAAAATACAACATTTAATATAATTTAGAGGGATAATATTCTTATTTATGTGGACTCTAGTATACATGGCCCCACAATATTATAGAGCTAATGCCAAAGGAATCCATTAATACTCCTTTATATAATTACTAGTTGCATATAGAAACAATATTTTGGTTTCTCACAAGATCATTGACAACTTCTTATATAAGAAAATATTGGAATTTAATTTATATATAAATATATAAAGTTTTAATGCTATACATTAAATTAACATGTAATCACATTTTAATATTATTTTAAATAATTCATTATAATTTTATTTTTAACTGCTAAATAGTCTATTTTGTAAATTTAAAAGCAATTCACAAATGAAAATCAAAATATTTTGCTTAATTTAAATATGAATTTTAAGGTGCATGTAAGTAAATAATCTGATAGGAGATATTTTTAAAGTGTTATTACAAAATAAATGTTACAGAACTTATTTTTAAAATTATTTGAAGGTATTTGCTATAATGTTATTATGTAAGTAGAGTTTGGTATTTACCACAATGAACATACAGATAGCTGAAAAATTCACTTGTTCATAACCACCAGTTGAATTATTGATATAACTAGGTTAGTTCCTAAATCAAATTTCTACATCCTAATATAATCTTCTATAATCTAGTGTTTAGCATCCAGATTTATCTCTAGTAATGCTATTTTTACATATTATTTAATATTCATATTTGCTTCCAAAATGTCAATGTATGTAGATATTGCATGAGCATGTGTGTGTAAGTGTATGTTTGTGCACTAATGCCAGATGCAGTGACAAGTCAAAGGATGCCAAAGGAACTTTTATTTTTCATGACATAATTCCTTTTCTTCCATCTCAAGAATGATCATAATACCTAGCAGTTAAATTAACTGCAAATATTTCTCTCCCGTAGTTGTCATAACATGTCAAGCCCGGAAGCGGGTAGAAAAGGATGTGGAAGTCACAATGACTGGTGATTTTGGGGGAGAAAATCCTATCTTAGAACCGATGGATTTTGTAGTGATTCCAAAAAGAACCTCATATGATTCTTATGAAGATGTCAATGGTAAGAGAACCACAATCGTGGATATAAAAAAATGATAATAAATAAAAACTCAATTTCCTTAAACTGCAGGTTGCTGATTACTCGGTTTCACGAAAATCCATGCCCGTTTATTTTTCCTTTACAATAAAGTAGTGCTCAACGAGCATTCAGTTCTGTTTGTTCTGTTCATATGGTAGTTATCCCCAAAATGTATTATTAGTGGATTTATAAGAATAGATTGTGATTCTGTCATTAGTGAGAAGAGGAAAAACTGTAGTAACTGTAATTTCTGCTTCTTTCAACTTTAATTTCTTCTTTGCTCTCTCTTTCTGACTTAAGACATTTGGTTGAAACCATGTCTTGCAGCTTTAAATTTAGAAGCACAACCTTGAATGAAATATTTCTTATTTAAAGAAATAGAAAAATTAACATAAGTTAGATGTAATACCCAAATAAATTTTGTATAGTAATTCCTCAGACATTTAGAGTCTTAAACAAGACTTTTCAAAAAGTTAATATGGTGGTCTGGCAAAATCAAATCCCAGTGATGCAAACTTTCTTTTTCAACTTTCTTCCAGATGAACTAAAGTAGAATGCTCCTATATCACAGTGAAAGGGACATTCCTATAGCAGTATTTCATTAAAATCAAGGAGGAAAAATCTATATTTATGTATTACTTAAAAAACAAATTGACCACAAAATTAAGTATGAAATTCCTTACAGAAACAAAATATCTTCCCTGGTTTTCTCATTCATAGCTATAGTTTTTACTTTGATCTCAGGACTATCATCTCTGTGTCTGATCTAATTATTTCAGTGATAAAAGAATATAAATGAGATATAACTGAAGAGAGAGATGAAGAGTATACAAGAATATAGAGAGAGTATACGAGAGATAGTAAAATAGTTTTGGATTTTTTAAAAATTATTTTATTGAAGTCATATTGGCCTATAACATTGTGTAAATTTCAAGCGTACATCATTATATTTCATTTTCTGTATAGATTGCATTGTGTCCACCACCAATAGTCTAGTTTTTATCTGTCACTATACATATGTGCCCCTTTACCCCTTTCATCCTCCCCCATGCCCTTCCCTTCTGGTAACCACTAATCTGTTCTCTTTATGTGTTTATTTTCCACATATGAGTGAAATAATATGGTATTTGTCTTTCTGTCTGATTATTTCTCTTAGCATAATACCCTCAAAGTCCATCCATGTTGTCACAAATGGCACAATTTTGTCTTTTTTGTGGCTGAGTAGTATTCCATTGTATAAATATACCACATCTTCTTTATTCATTCATCCACTGAAGGGCACTTGGGTTGCTTCCATGTGTTGCTATTGTGAATAATGCAGTCATGAACATAGGGGTGCATAAATCTTTTTGAATTATTGATTTCGTGTTCTTTGGATAAATACTCAGAAGTGGAATAGCTGGATCATATGGTATTTCTATTTTTAATTCTTTGAGGAATCTCCATACTGTTTTCCATAGTGGCTGCACCAATTTGCATTCCGACCAGTACTGTATAAGGATTCCCTTTACTCCACATCCTCTCCAACCCTTGTTATATCTTGTCTTGTTAATAATAGCCATTTTGATGGGCATGAGGTGATAGCATTGTAGTTTTGACTTGCATTTCCCTGATAGTGATGTTGAATATCTTTTCATGTGCCTGTTGGCTATCTGTATATCTTCTTTGGAAAAGCATCTGTTCATATCCTCTGCCCATTTTTTGATCAGGTTGTTCATTTTTTTGTTGTTGAGTTGTATGAGTTCTTTATGTATTTGGGAAATTAATCCCTTGTTAGATATATGATTTGCAGATATTTCCTCCAAGTTGGTGGGTTGGACTCATTTGGGCTTATTAATACCTTCCACCCAAATTGAGAGTGTATTCATCCCCAAATAGCCAGTTTTAGACTCTCTGCAAGAGCAAACAACCTACATGTGAAGAGGGGGGAGAAAGTGTGCGTCCTGAATTCAAGATATTGGGAAAGAAAGAGAAGAGTCTGCTCATCTGCTCATGTTCCATTCCTTCACTGATCGAATGTGTTGCTTTTCCTCCGACGGCAAGTCATGATGGAGGAGGTAGATTGAGGCTGTGATTTTTTTCCTCCTATACTTTGCTCTTCTTGTGAGTGAATAGGCCCTTCTATGTAAACATGATAAGTAGGAGATAAGAATCCCCACCACTCCCTTCCCATCATCCTCCCGTTATTGGAGAGTCTAATAAAACTATCAAGCTTCATTAAATGAAAATACCAGCACTCCTCACACAAACCATTGAGTTAACCAGGATTGATCACTTTCATATCTTTTTCATTCAACAACAATCTAGCAAGCATCTTTGCTGCCAGATATTATACTAAACCCCAGAGATGCCAAAATTAGCAAGACGTGGATTGTTGTCAAGAAATTCAAAGAACATCCATCCAACATGTTGGATTTATGCGCCTGTACTATTTAAATCAATTGGTATTGCCCTATGGCATATGATTATACTTGGATTTTTAGACTGTATTTTGCAATGTCACTTCTATAAGATTATGAATTATTCTCTGTGGGCAGGATTTTCCCTATAATGGTATTTATTCTTCCTAAATAACTGCTGGTCCACGTATTCTTTGTGCCTCTCTGGGGATTAGTTCAGTGACTTTCTCTGTGGGACTTTTTCTGTGAGAGTGGATTTATCATTTCACTGCACATCAGATTCATGCCTCTTCCTCTTATTTCCCAGGTGTTCTGTAGCTTGAGGATATTTTTCTTTGATTAATCTGTTGTCTTTCTTGTGTCTGATTTGCTGATTTAGGTGTTACGTTGGTCTCATTTCACTCAAGGCCAGTCATCTTGCTGTATGTTGTTTGCATGTTGTACGTAAACGCCCATGCTGGGTTTGGTCTGTCATCACAAACAGCTCCTGAGAAACCTGTTATTGGTCCTCCCATGACCCCACATTGGCCTCCACACCAGCCTCCACACCTTGACCCTTTCCTCTGCTTCTCTACATTTTGCTTTCTCTGCTCGACTCACTCCATTAAGTCTTCTGTCTTAACTACTCTAATGAGACTACCCTTGACAAAACTGTCAACCCTATCCAGTATGCCTAATCCAATGGTCAGATTTGTGTTCTGAGCTTACTCAACCTGTCAGCAGTGTTTACCAGTTGACTCAATTGAAGAACTTTCTTCTCTTGGTTTTCAGGAGTAGTCTTATTCATTTATTATCTCACTGGTTGTTCCTTTTCCAACTCTGTTGTTGACTACTTTTCCTCTGATCAGGATCTAAATGTTTGAGTGACTCAGGGCTCTGCCTTAGGGCCATGACACTCCACTGCACAGGTCATAGGTTATGTTCTGCACACTTCCAGGTGATGATGCTGATGTTGTTTTTTCAGGAATTGTGCTGTATGACAGGCCTGAGATCCTAGATTGTGAAGTCTGAAGTCAGACAGCTTGGGTTCTTCCTTTCAGTCTCTGTGGGGCCTTGAGAAAATTACTTTACCTCTCTATAAATTCAGTTTCTTCAACTGTAATGTGGAGATAGTAATGGTATCTGCTTCATAGGATATTTCTGAAGATTAAGTGTAAATGCATGGAATTCTTCAAAGTGCCTTGTTCTCAGTGAGTGTTCCATAAGCGTTAGATATTACCGTTATTATCATTTAAAACTCTAGTTGGGTATTCTGTGACAGTGATATATTAGAGGGCCCATCTTCAGTCGCCAACAAATGTGTTTTCAGATGGAAACATAATCCTCTCAATGACATTCAGTGAGTTTTCTCATTAATACGTAAAAGAATATTCTATCAAAAAGAAAGGAGAAAAAAATAGTACCTAAATCTTAGAGTCTGAAATTGATGCTAATTGCTAAAAGCTCAGATAAAATATTTATGGTACAAGAAGTCCTTTTATCTTTTATTTCTGATATCTTGTTTAAAATAAAATGAGTAAGAAGAGCATCAGCTGTGTGGCCACCTTCTTCCTTTAATTTTCATTTTGTAGTTTACTGTACTTGCAGTCATATCAGAGGAACATGTGGTCATTTTAAATTAGTCAAAATGTTTGGTCTATTAAATGACCTTATGAAAGTGAAGTAAAACACATAAATGAAATACTCCTTCAAAAAGATTCACAATTTTATAAAAATAATAGGAGTGTGCGGATGCCCATTCTTCATTATCTGTTCAAAGAAAATAGCTTTAGGTAGTTTATCCAGCATTCTCTATTTTCTTTGAATATCATGTTGCCTTCATGCTGTTTCAGATTTATCTTCAGTACTCCATTCATTCCTTATATTATTATTATGTTCTGTCAAATAAATGTATATGCATATTATCAATGAAGAGGGAACTGCAGAAATTTAGAGAAATCACATGAATAACAATGTTCATTATACTTTGATATTCATTTCTCCATAATTGAGATGTTTTTGCTGGTTTGCTATGAAATATATGTCTTTTCTTTTATTTATTTTTTTTTTGAGGAAGATTAGCCCTGAGCTAACTGCTGCCAATCCTCCTCTTTTTGCTGAGGAAGGCTGGCCCTGGGCCAACATCTGTGCCCATCTTCCTCTACTTTATATGTGGGACACCTACCACAGCATGGCATGCCAAGCGGTGCCATGTCCACACCCGGGATTCGAACTGGCAAAGCCCGGGCCGCCGAGAAGCGGAACGTGTGCACTTAACCGCTGTGCCACTGGGCCGGCCCCTGAAATATATTTCTTACAGATGAAAATGTATATGGCATAATAATACATAATTTCAAAGCATATTTTATAAATAGATTTGTTATAATTCAATACTTTTTGATTATTTATTGTATTTAGTCGTGTTCTCTTTTTAAAAATCACTGATATTCTTCCACATTGAATAAATTTGAGTCATTGTCCTGAGAAAATTCACCCAAGTAACAGGAACCCTTGGCCAACATAGCTCCCGCTGCATAATTTATTGGCACTATGATACAGGCATTAGGTTGAATGATAATTATGCATGAATAATATCTTTATGGGAGACTTACCCCTTTTGTTCAATATAATGACTTTGCTGCCATACTCAAACGATTATTACCATTACTATTTTATGACACTATAGATTAATAAATAGGTATAGATATCTAGATAGATAGATACATGGATAGATATCATATTCTGCAATTTTCTGAAACCTGTTTGATTAAATATTTTGTATATATGTTAAGGGTATGAGTACAGTACTGAAAAACCCCACAGAGATTAGTAAACATTTACATACCTTTTAAAACACAATTGAAGTTAAATGTATATTTATCCTATTAATTTCATGAATTCAAGTGTCTTTTTAAGGATTTTCTATAAAAGGACAGAATTTTCCTCTAATATTGAAAAATTTATTACAGTAGTCCCAATAACTTTGAAATTGTAATGTGTATTATGGGAAACTACATTTATTAAATACTTTTTTTTTTAAAAGTGCAGTTATTCTCTTAAAGTCATGAGCTACGTTTGTCATGAGACATTAATTTTATCTAATAATCAGATGATAATTTACACTGGCCTCACTAATTTAGCTCTTACCATCCTAATCCACATAAAAGTAGTGTATAGATTGTCTTCAAGTTAGGAACATAACAAAAGGCATGTTTCTTACTTGGTACCATGACTTTTCAAATAAAATGCAGAAACTCTAACAGAATAGCTTTAAGACACAATACGCAATGTCAGTTTATCATGATTTTGTCCCACCAGACTCTGTCCCCCTCCCTTCGGTGCTCATATCAATACGTTGGAGTTATAGATGAGGGTGGGAGGGGAGTATGTGTAGTTTGAAAAATAGATTCATGTGGTTGCTATTTGCCTCATCCCCCGCCCCCATCCCCTAGCTGATGATCATATCTCTATTTTGGACCAATGGATCTTCTTATGGTTGGAATTATGACATCGGTAGTCACAGATTCCCCACAGGGAGTCCAATGCTTCTGAAACTTAACTTTAGCGTCTCGTTTCCTATCTTCATTCTGACACAGCCATTCCCATAAAGGCTTCAATGATTAAGCAGAAACAGCTGCAGGTCTCAACTACATACAGTATTTGCTTTAGAAAATATTATGTTATTTGAATGCAAGGGAAATTTCATCTCCCATTAAACACTCTAAAATTCTTAAATGCTATTTCTCTCTATGGATTATAACTTCCTATGGAACATTTCCATGTCCCATTCCCAGAACAAAAAGACACATTATATGTAGACACATTGATTTTGCTACAGCAAAGGATGGTTATTGATAGGAACAACAATTGCCGATTTTGTCAATAGGGTAAAAACCAGCAATTCAGGAGGTCAGAGATTTATTTTTACTTGTGGAAAAAGAAAAAAAGAGATCTTGTAAGGGTGTGGGTCAGTCAGTTATTTTACATTAATAAGGTTTGCTGAATAATCATTAAATGTGACTTGGGCTTGTTACAGCCAAGCTATTTTTCAGAGTTCTATAGCAGAAATTATAATCAATGACTTCTGAAAGGTGGTCTGGTTTCTGTTAGGATTGCTTAGGGAAAGATGGCCATCAGTTCTGTGAATCCAAGGATCACTTTTACCTTTATACACTAGAGACAGACTTTAGAAATTAGCTCAGCTGAGGACCAGGTCAAGCCATGGTTCTCTGACCTCTCTTCCATGATCTTCGTGCAACAAACTTCTTGATTTGGGATTTGGGCTCCCTACATGTACATGAAGAGTAAATATAATAGATGTTTGTGTTTCTCTTCTACATGCCAGTCCTGGTTTTAAGATATTTTTCACATATACCTAACAAAACCCTGATATAACTTTCCTCTGGTAGCCTACTGGTTAAGAAAATATGGTTAAACATATTGTCTATAATACCCCGACTAAAATATGAAGAACTCTTTCTTTTATAAAAATATACCAGAACTTGAAAATTCTACCCTAATATATTGGGATGCTGTTTTAACATTATTTAAACTTAATTCGAATCTTTCTTTATAAATTACAAGTCTATAGGCATTTAATATATTAATTATTTAGAGTATGTCATATTATTTGTATTTTTTAGTAAATATTAATTTCCATTTGGCTAATTCTTGTTTCATAAATCTGAATTTTAAAGATTTAAGGATGGGAGGAATTGTCTTCTGCATTTATTTTTTTATATTCATCCATTTATTTATTTACCTTTTAACAAAAACATACTGAGTGCTATTATATACCTGGTAATGCACTAGGTATTATGAACACAAAGCTAAGTAACATATGCCCTCTCACTCCCTGTAAATACCTGTGCATGATTATTGTTGGCATATAGCTGATGTTCAATCTGTACATATTTAACTAAATTGAAGTATATTTTAATCTTGATTTTCCTAGAATTGTCTGGAAGACGTGAATTTGAATATGAAATTCAATTTGAATCTGAAGTTGATAAGTCTAACTTGGAATCTTGCTTGGCTTTATATTTGATCAAAAAATCTTATAGTATCAGTGCTGAAAAGATAACATTGGTCTTCATTGTGATATTTGCACCAAAGAAACCATTGAGGTAAACCTGCTTTTACCCCTTTTTTCTTTAAACAATGTTACTACTCTTTTAAACCAAATATTATTACTCTTTTAAACTAAATAACGTTGAGTTTTCTTTCCATCTTTCTTTATTTGGATTGTATTACCTCTTCGATGCTGTTGAGGTAAATATTTTGGGCTAGGTTATTTCTAGCTATCAAGCTATGAAAAGTATTCTGATGAGAAAAAATAACCTAAATGGGTAGAAATCTAAGATATCCCTCATGAATTGTGACCTCCCTAAGGTCATTAGGGTATAATACTAACAAAAGAAAGCAGTCTACTTTGTAAAATTTAAAAAAAAATTACTGACTTGATGCCGTATGTTGGCAACATGATATTTCTTGATACTACTTCTCAGAACCAGTTCAAATGATGAAAATGTGTAAGCTATGTTCTGCTTTGCAATTACATCATTACCCTTTTACCACCCAAGACCATAACATTGCACATCCTCGAGTAAGGTTTAAGAGGAACATATTGGAATCTATGAGAATAGTGAGCTTTGAATGTCTGTCCTCTGGGAAACTTCATCCAGTACCTTTATATTTATTTTTGGGGCAACTGATATTTAGCACCTGAAAATACTGTGATATGTCACATCTGAAACATGCCTTTATTTATGTCTTTATGCAAAGATACCAATCAGAACCACAGTATACACAAAGTACAAAATACAGCGTGGCAATGAAAAAACACTTATGCTTTTCATCATTTCTATAGTTTAACTATGTATTTGATGTAGCCAGGCATGTAATTAAAGTGGCTTTGAGTATGTAGTCCAATAACTAAAAGATACAATAGTCATCTTCAGGGAGCAATAATAAAGTCAGGCTGCAGGAAGAAAGTACACTATAAATGTTGACATTACCCTCTTTTATCTTTTCTTTCGTTTTCATAGTTTTCTATGTTTATTAGCATTTTTTCACACTTAGCTTTGTATTGTATTGTTTTAATGATATGGAAGTACTAGCAACAACCAGAAAGGGAAAATGTTAACATTGGTGAATATGAACAGAAGCAGTGTGAATTTATACTCATTCGAAATTTTGTGATTTAGGGCTTCTTGGTAAAGACATGAGAAACTGACTTAGGACAACTTGTATGCATGATTCATAAATTTTTGTGAGTGTTCTGTGATGTTATGATGGAGTTTAATAATTCTGTTTTGTGCATATATGTATATGTTTATTTACTTTTGTCATTTATGTGTATTTGAAGTGGTTTACTGCAAGACACACAGTTAAGTAAGAAAAAACAAAATAAAACCAATAGCTCTAAATATGAAAAAGAATAATAAGAAAATAATTATACCCAAACCATGCTTTACCTTGATAATTAAAATAAGCATCGAATTCAACTCTTCTCTTCTTGGTTGGCAAGGTAAAAAGACAAAATTTTCACGTTTTGCTAAAAAGAAAATATAACATTGTTTCACAATGATAAATACAGGTAATTTTTCACATCTATCTTTTCACAGAATAGTATTGTATATAATAAAAATAATGGTCAGAGCCCTAAATGGTGAATTTACCAAAAGAAAGGGTGTGGATATTATTCCTAAAGGTCTTGACCTTTTCTTTCAATAAAAATCGAGTCCAATACAAAAACTTAAGAGATCAATAGTTAATATTGTCATAAATGAGTCTGATGATTCTAACTTAATACAGGTCTAAACATTTTTTTTTAAAATAGAGAAATGATAGATATAATTTGTCTTAGGGTGTCTTTAGAAATAATGATTATCCTAGCTTGACTTTTTCCTGGAACTTTTCACCTGCTCAAGAGATGAACAGAATGAGAACCTAAAGTTCTATTTCACAGAGTTTGGGAGAGACAACTTGGCATAGGAAATATCATATATGAACACTGTTAGGCATCCACAGTATTGACCATAAAATGGTTCGCTGAGTTATCGCTGAAACTGGGTAGTCTTCCTCGGCTTTGGGACAAACAGGTTGACTCAGTGGCTTCCCACTAACTCAGAGAATTGGTCTGCTGAATGGAACTATTCAACATTGTTCATTTGAACATGTCCGTCCATTTGTTAAAAATCATTTAGCATCTACAAAAGAAACAAAATCCCTGCACTATTGGAGTATATAGTCTAGTGAGAGTAATAGATAAGAGAGAAATGTATAAGTAAACGACAACATTTTAGATTGTTCCAAGAAGGAAATAAATAAGGAGAAATAGAGAGCTATGAAGGATGTACATCACACAAGGTGGACAGTTAGGCTTCTGTGGACAGGAGATTTCTGAACGAATACCTTACAGATGAGAAGAGCTTGGAAGGGTATTTGAAACAGAGGCTGTGGGACCAGGAAATGTTTGGTATGAACAGTGAATAGTAAGGAGGCCAATGTTTCTCTAACACAGTGAGCAAAGGAGAAAGTAAGGTTGGAGAGTTTGGCCAGGATCCCATCACACGGGGTCTTGAGCGTATAAATTTGTCTTTTATGCCAGAAATGATTGGAAATGACTGAAGGATAAATTGGGGGGGGGGACTGATTTAGGACAATTTGTGTACAGGATTCATAAAATTCTGTAAGTGCTCTATGATGGTCTGATGTAGTGTAACGATTCTATTTTGTGCATACAGGTACATATTCATTACTTCTGCTGTTTCTTGCTCCAAATGAATTTGAGATGGTTGAAAGGTAGATACAGAATTAGATAAGAAAAACCAAAATAAAACAATAGCTCAAACTTGTGGAAGTCCTCTCCTCCTTGTGGGATGGCAAGAGTAGAAGTGGGAAGACCAGTTACTGAATTAGCGCTCTTGAAACAGTGCTGAGAGGAATACAGTTTCATTTACTAAGACAGGAGAGTGTGAGAGAGGTATAGGTTTAGGGTTTACATTTTGGGTATAAGTTTAAGATGATATATCAGTCACCATGGGCTAATTATCCTGCTTAGTATCCCACTGTTTTAATGCAATATACTTTATTGTTAGCGGCACTCTATTGAAGGAATATTTTTAAAATTTTAGTACCGGTTTTTTGATAGCATAAATAATGAAGCAATGAACATCCTCATACACATCACTTCTTGAAATCTTTGAGGCATATCTCTGGGGGAAATTACTAATAGTGAAATTGCTGATTTAGTGTGTGCAACTTTCAAATTTGGTAAGATATTCTCCAATTGTTCCCCAAATGGTAGAATAACTTTATAGTCATATCTAACAAGGATAGGAGTTCCAGAACTGTTCTCTCTGACAGTTTTAGATAAGAGGATTTTAATTTCTTTGTCCAATCCTGACATGTGATATTGCAACCACACCATCACATGTTTGAGTCATTTCCCCGCTAAGCAAGCAAACAAACAGGTAACCAGTCCTCAACTCCGGCAACTTCCCTGTGGCTCCACTCTTCATAGCCAAATGCTCAGGCAAGCCGTCTCTACTCTCTTTAATTCAACTGCCACTCAGTTATATGTTACCCCGTGAGGTGTTTGTGGTCTTTGTCAAATGCAATTGAATTTCTTAAAAGCTTCAGTTTGTCAGTTTTATGGGGCTTTGCAAGTGTTCACAGAAAATATAATTTTTCTGTGTGAAGAAAGAGTTGAAAAAACTTTCTCACAGTGTCTCATTTTGGGCAGAAAATTCCCATATGGAATACCTATTGGTGTAACACTTGAATCCATTTGCTGAACTCCCCTTAGATTCTTAAATATTCTGATATTCTATGCTGGGTACAGAAAGTTCATGGAGTCAATTTTGCATATGCTACTGGTTCTTAGTAAATAACTAGAGAGTAGATAAGATGTACTACAAAATAATTACCTTATGAGGAGAATAATATAACCTGTGACCTAAAAATTATTCCTGAATGTAGTTAACAGTCATCTACTTTTTTTTTTTAAGAATGAAAAATCCCAGTGTTTTTACTGAAACCACAGGGATTGCTTACATTTTCATCTCAGATATCGATCTACTATCTTATATTCTCTTTGCTAATTTTCCTGTGGTATCCTTTATAATCTCTTTTTCTATTCAAGGTCTCATATTTCACTGAAAATAGAGTGCATAACAGATGGGATCTGGAAGTTTCCCATAACGTTAGTTGCTTCTCAGCCTGATGTGGACGATGTCATTGATATTGAAGGAGTTGGTTTATTTAAGGAATCTACTATTGACTTCAGGCTGACAAGTCAGACAAGGTAATATATCAAGCAAAATTATGTAACTGGTTTTGTGAATGTAATTTATGCTGAACTGAGAAAATTTAAGACAGAAAATTCTATTATGTCATCTTTTGCTGGTTAAGTCAGAGCAGTATTGCTTCTATGAATCAAAGCTTTATATATTTCATAGTTTTTTATTTAAAAATAGGAAAATAGGTTCTACAACATGAAGACCAAAAAATGAGAAGCAAAAGTAAATAGTTATTTATTAAAATTTAGGATAATATTTCTATTTACTTTTCAAAGGATATTTTACTGTATTTTTTCAAAGATAGATGGAATGTCTTTCAGTAAATTTAATGGTGTTGGATTGTCAAGTGGTTTGACTAAACAAAGATGATTGAGTAATCTATGTTGACTCCATTTTCTATATTATTATTCTGCTCAACCATAGATATCTTTGTGATACTTGTAATAACATAGATAACATGATAACAATACTTTTTTCGCTTAACATAATACACTCAAGGTCCATCCATGTACAGTGATGGATGGAAGCTAGACTTTTGGTGGTGAACACAATTTAATTTACACATAAGTCGAAATATAATGATGTACATCTGAAATTTATATAATGTTGTGAATCAATGTGACCTCAATAAGATAAATTTTTGAAAAACGATACTTTTGCCTATCTCACACATAAAGTATATTTTTACAGCTTTTTTGAGGTATAACATACATACCATAAAAGTCACCCATTGTAAGTGTGTATTGCTTTAATTTTTTGAGAATCTATAGAATTTGTAATCATAGCCACATTCCAGGTTTAGAACTTTCCCATCTCCCCCCAAATTTCCCTCAAGCCCCTTTGCAGTCATCCCCTGCACTCTCTCCCAGTCTCAGACAACCAGTGATTTGCTTTCTGTCTCTATAACCTTGCCTTTCTGGATATTGCATATAAATAAAATCACTCAATATATAGTCTTTTTTTAACTTTTTTTTTTTTAGCAATTTTAGGTTTACAACAAAATTGAGAAGAAGGTAGAGAGATTTTTCATACACTTCCTGTCCCCACACATACATAGCCTCTCCCAATATCAACGTCATTCACCAGAATGATACATTTTTTAACAAGGATGGATCTACATTGACGCATCATAATCACCCAAAGTCCTCAGTTTACGTTAGGGTTCACTCTTAGTGTTGTACCTTCTACGTGTTTGGACAAAAGTATAATGACATATATCCATCATTATAATATCATACAAAGTGTTCTCACTGCCCTAAAATTCCTCCATGCTCTCTCCCTATTCATCTCTCTCCCCACCCCTGGCAACCGCTGATCTTTCTATTGTCTCCATAGTTTTGCCTTTTCCAGAATGTCATATAATTGGAATCATATAGTATGTAGCCTTTCCAGATTGGTTTCTTTTGCTTAGTAATTTACATTTGAGGTTTATCCATGTCTTTTCATGGCTTTATAGTGCATTTCTTTTTAGCATTGAATAATATTCCACTGTCTGTATATACCACAGTTTATTTATCCGTTCACCTACTGAAGAAAATTTTGGTTGCTTCCAAGTTTTGGCAATTATGAATAGAGCTGGTATAAACGACTGGGTGCAGGTGTTAGTGTGGATATGTTTTCAACTCTTTTGGGTAAATACAAAGCAGCGTGATTGCTCGATCCTGTGGTAAGAATATATTTAGTTTTGTAAGAATTTGCAAAACGGTCTTCCAAAGTGGCTGTACCATTTTGCACTCCCACCAACAATGGATGAGAGTTCCTGTTGCCCTACCTCCTTGCCAGCATTTGATGGTGCCAGTGTTCTGGATTTTGGCCATTCTAATAGAAGTGTAGTGGTATCTCATTATAGTTTTAGTTTGCATTTCTCTATGACATGTGATGTCATGTGTCTTTTCAAATGCTTACTTGCCATCTGTATATTTTCTTTGGTGAGGTATCTGATAAGATCTTTGGCCCATTTTTCAATGCGGTTGTTTGTTTTCTTACTATTGAGTTTTAAGAGTTCTTTGTATATATTTGATAACAGTCCTTTATCAGATGTGTATTTTGCAAATGTATTCTCCCAGTCTCTAGCTTCTCTTCTAATTCCCTTGATATTGTCCTTCACAGAGGAGAAGTTTTTAATTTTAATGAAGTCCAGCTAATCACTTATTTCTTTCACGAATTATGTCTTTCCTGTTGTATCTAATAAAGCATCACCATACCCAAGGTCTTCTAGGTTTTCTCTTATATTATCTTCTAGAGGTTTTAAAGTTTTCTGTTTTACGTTTAGATTTAGGATCCATTTTGAGTTAATTTTTGTGAAAAGTGTAAGGTCTGTATCTAGATTCATTTTTTTTGCATGTGGATGTCCAGTTGTTCTAGCACCATTTGTTGTTCCATTGTATTGCCTTTGCTCCGTTGACAAAGATTAGTTGATTATATTTACATGGGTCTATTTCTGGGCTCTTTTATGTTCCATTGATTTATTTGTCTATTCTTTCACCAATACCACACTGTCTTAATTACTGTAGCTTTAGAGTAAGTCTTAAAGTCAGGGAGTGTCAGTCTTCCAACTTTGTTGTTCTCCTTCAGTATTGATCTGGCTATTCTGAGTCTTTTGCCTCTCCTTATAAACTTTAGAATCCATTTGTTGATATCCATAAAATAACTACCTGAGATTTTGATTGGGATTGCATAAATCTATAGATCAAATTGGGAAGACTGATATCTTGACAATATTGAGTCTTCCTATCTGTGAACATGAAATATCTCTTCATTTATTTATTTTTTATTTGATTTTGTTCATCAGAGTTTTGTAGTTTCCCTCATATAGATCTTGTACATATTGTTAGATTTATACCTGAGTATTTCATTTTGGGGGTTGCTAATGAAAATGGTCTTACCCTTTTAATTCCAAATTTCATTTGTTCATTGATGGTATATAGGAAAGCAAGTGACTTTTGTATATTAATCTTGTATCCTAAAACCTTGCTATGATCACTTATTAGTTCCAGTTTTACTGTTGACTCTGAGATTATCTACATAGATGATCATGTAATCTGGAAATAAAGACAGATTTATGTCTTCCTTCTCAATCTGTATACCTTTATTTTCTTTTCTTGCCTTATTGCATTACCAAGGTTATCCAGTACAATGTTGAAAATGAATGGTGAGAGGGGACACCCTTGTCTTCTTCCTGATCTTAGGGAAAGTTGTGAGTTTCTCCCCATTAAGTACGATGTTAGCTGTAGGATTTTTGTAGATTGTCTTTATTAGGTTGAGGAAGTTCCCCTCTAGTCCTAGTTTATTAAGAACTTTTATCATTAATGAGTGTTGGATTTTGTCAAATGCTTTTTCTGCCTTTATTTATATGATTGTGTAATTTTTCTTTTTTAGTCTGTTGATGTGCTGGATTACATTAATTGATTTTCAAATGTTGAACCAGTCTTGCATAGCTGGGATAAATCCCATTTGGGCATGGTGTATTAATTCTTTTTATATATTTTTGGATTCAGTTTGCTAATACTTTGTTAAGGATATTTGCATCTATGTTCATGAGAGATATAGGTATTTAGTTTTCTTTTCTTGTAGTATCTTTGCCTGGTTTTGCTATTAGGGTAATGCTAGACTCATAGAATGAGTTAGGAAGTATTTCCTCTGCTTATATCCTCTGAAAGAGATTATAGAGAATTGGTATAATTTCTTCCTTAAATCTTTGGTAGAATTTACTAGTAAACCCATCTGGACCTGCTGCTTTCTTTTGGGGAAGGTTATTAATTATTGATTCAATTTCTTTTATAGATATAGGCCTAGTCAGATCATCTATTTCTTCTTGTGTGAGTTTTGGCAGATTGTGTCTTTCAATGAATTGGTCCATTTCATCCAGGAAATCAAATTTGTTGGCCTAGAATTGTTCATAGTATTCTGTTGTTATCCTTTTAATTTCCATGGGATCTGTAGTGATGTCCCCTCTTTCGTTTCTGATATCAGTAATTAGTGTTCTGTCTCTTTTTTCTTAGTTTGCCTGGCTAGAGGCTTACCAGTTTTATTGATGTTTTCAAAGAACCAGCATATGTATGGTTTCATTGATTTTCTCTGTTGATTTTCTGTTTTCAATTTCATTGATTTCTGCACTAATTCTTGTTGTTTATTTTCTTCTGTTTAATTTGGGTTTAATTTGCTCTTCTTTTTCTAGTTTCCTCAGGTGGAAAGTTAGATTATTGATTTTAAATTTTTCTTCTTTTCTAATATATGCTCTCAGTGCTAGAAATTTCCCTCTAGCATTGTTTTCACTGCATTCCACAAATTTTGGTAAGTTGTGTTTTCCTTTTCATTTTGATCAAAATATTTTTTAATTTCTCTTGAGATTTATTCTCTGACCCATGTGTTATTTAGAAGTGTGTTCTTTAATTTCCACATATTTTTAGTTTTTCAAGTTATCTTTCTGTTATTGATTTCTAGTTAGATTCCATTGTGGTCTGAGAGCAGACATTGTATGATTTCTATTCCTTTAAATTTGTTAAGGTGTGTTTTATGGCCCAGAATGTGGTCTCTCTTGATGAATGTTCCATGTGAGCTTGAGAAAAGTGTGAATTCTGCTGTTGTTGGATGAAGCGGTCTATAGATGTTAATTATATCCGGTTGATTGATGGTATTGCTGAGTTCAACTATGTCTTTACTGATTTTCTGCCCGCTGGATCTATGTATTACTGAGAGACAGGTGCTGAAGTCTCCAACTATGATAGTGGATTTTTCTATTTCTCCTTGCAGTTCTATCAGTTTTTGCCTCATGTAATGATGCTCTGTTGTTAGGGGCATACATGTTAAGAATTGTTATGCCTTCTTAGAGAACTGACCTCTTCATTATTATGTGATGCCCTTCTTTATCGCTGATAACTTTCCTTGCTCTGAAGTCTACTCTGTCTGAAATTCATATAGTTACTCCTGCTTTGTTTTGATTGTGTTAGCATGGTATATTTTTCTCCATTCCTTTACTTTTAATCTATATGTGTCTTTATATTTA